CAGCTTACACCTCTACCATTGTTATATGAGTAAAATGCTGTTTGCAACTTGTAGAAATAATGACGTAAATCCTCAGAGATGGCAACACAGTAAGTGAGTTTGTCAATCAAAACTGTCATTGCTTGGCTTTCTCTTAGTGCTAATATGACTTTGGAAATACTAGTGTTTCTAGTTTATGTGCATTAAACATGTATTAATTTTGAAAGTACATAATGTTAGTTTACAAAACCTAGGAACTTCATTTTTGTAAAGTTTGACTATGCATATTAACCATATTTCAAAATATAATATTCCTCTTAGCTTAAATAGTTATAAAAATTTAATGTTTTTTCCTTTGCAGCGACATTACTGGGGGCAAACCCCTGGAAGTGGAGATGGAAGGGATAGAATACATGAACGATGATCCTGGCATGGTGGATGTTCTTTATGCCAAAGTCCATATGAAAGATGGCTCCAACAGGTATGTTTCTGGAATATTTCTTTGTTTCACTCAGGAGGTGCCTAAAAGCATCCCTAGAAGTTCAACTAATTTTGATTCTTTTTCTTTGAGATCTTTGTATTGTAAAGTGTGTGTCAATTCTTCTTCTTTTTTTTAGATAGCAAGCTGATATCTTGAAAGAAGATCTGTTGTAGGAAAAAGTATTAGACTTTTAGTCTTATAATTATTGAGTTTCTTGGATGGTGCATGTTGATAGTGGCAGTCTAGTTTTTATAGAATTCAGTGCATCCTTCATGTTTTCCAGGATAACAGGAGGCAGGAAGGATGGCATTTTAGGATGGTAGTTTCAAAAGTGAATTAATGCAGATCAATTATAGTTACTACCAGGACAAAATGGTGATGATAACTGTATAAACATCATAAGATTATTAGGATTAAATTAATCTCTATAAAATGCTTAGAACAGTGCTTGGCACATACTAACATCAAAACATACATAAAAAAATGTTTACTATTTTTTTTTTTTTAATTATTACTATACCTAGGTCCATTTTAGGGATTCTCAGTCTGCACTCCAGGCTATTTCTGAGGCTAGCCTAGAACCATTTCCAATGTTAATGCCATTTATTAGTCTACCCAAGGCCTTTGGTGTGCCGAGGAACCCAGCTTGAATTAGAAGTTTGTTTTTGTGTGGTCTTTTCAGTTGGGCAGGATAAAATGGAGCTCACACTGAACCAGAAACCCTCTAGAGAAAACGTGTCTATAGGCAGGCCCCAAATTGATTTGCTTTTCTAGAGGATCTCTTGTAAGGTTTGTCTTATCTCTGTTTGAATCGATAATCTCAATGATCTCCTATCTCAGTTCAATTGGAAGTGAAACTTGAGGGTAAAGGAAGAAAAATGCTATAGAATCAGTCTTTTTGTGTGTCTGGACCAGATTTTCCTTTTCCTAGATACCTGGCATGTGCATAAAGGGCCTGCTGATCCTGCCCTAAAGACTAGGAACACATGGTTACCTAACAGGAAATCATATGCTAGGATGTCCCAAAACATTTCTAGCAGGTTAAAATTTGATACCTGTATGGATCAGTGACTTTGTGTTCTAAGTCATAACTATCCAAATACATTTACCATGTTGGAAAACTACTAGGCATGGGGTAGATTACTTTTGAACTTTGTGAACAGAAACAAAAAGATAGCAGTTCTCAAACTGTTTGGTTTCATAATCTCTTTAATTTCTTAAAAATCATTGAATACCCCAAAGAGCTTTTGTTTATATGGGTTATATGTATAAATATTTACTTTATTAGAAATTAAAACTGAGAAATTTAAGATTTGTTAGTTCATTAAAAATAATAGTAATAAAATAATTTTTGTTTTATATAAATAACATTTTTTTCATGAAAAATCACTCTATTTTCCAAATCCAAAAAATGTAATGAGAAGATAGGCATTGTTTTACATTTTTGTAAATTAATATAAGACAGCTGAGTTTCCATTTCTGCTTCTCTGTTCAATCTATCGTGATACATTGTTTTGATCGAAGTATTAAGAAAATCTGGCCTCTTGCAAAAACGTAGTTGGAAAATTAAGGAGTACTTTAACGGCCTTTTTAGATAATTCTGGATATTTGATACTAAAATAAAACTTGACAGGTCATAGGTTCTTAAAAATGTCAGTTGCAATGTGAAATCTGAAACTATATCAATGAATATTTCATACTCTTGTTATATTAAAATCCAGAGGTCTGTCCTGTAGTTTGCCTGGATCTTTAACTCATGGATAATTTTGTAATTTTGGTCATTTACAAAATATTGTTTCACTGAGTTATACAGACCTTCCAAATGTTGATATATTTTATTATGTAATATTAAAAATACCTGTTAATATCACTGCTAGCTTAATCGAAATCTTTAAGTATTGGGGGAGCTGTCAAGCTCATGGAGGCAGGTACATGTTTTCTAAAATTTGGGTTTTCTAAAATTTGGATTTTCATTTGAAAGCCTAAATTTTATTATTAGCAGAAAATACTGGTAATTTTTTCCCTTTAAGTTCTTTTTTGTAAAAATGTCTACCAAATAGCCAAGTCTGAATAACTATAATTTGTCTGTCAGTTGTTCTTTCAAGTCAAAATTATGTTCCATGGACAAGGAAGCTAGTGCAACTCACAACTCATTGAACCCCACAAGTACTTTTCCTCTAGGCAGCTGTCTATTTCAGTATGTAGCCCAAGTGCTTTATACATACTGCTAGTTTCATCACAGAAGATTAAAAAGACACGCACTCAAGCACTGGGATTTAATACAGTTAATTTTAATGCCTCGTGAAGGATAAATGAAACTGTTTCTTTTTTATTTAAAAAACTGTGTAGTGAAGATATGCGTACTACTAGTAGTAAGTACAATTTGATGCTGCTGCCTTAATTCATGTTAAGGTGCTTGCAGTTTTACCTATCATTGCTTTTGTACCATCAGTGCAAATGTCATTGAGGTGAAAAAGATAAATATCATCATCTAACTATTATAAAAATGTTTTGACCTCCTGGACCGGTCCCCAGAAGGTCCATAGACCAGGCTGTAACAAACCTCTGATCTAAGTAAGATTTTATTTCCAAAATTTAAGGTTGCATTGTTTCCGGGGAAATTGTAACTAGCTTTTGTTCAGCTATTACTCTTGCCTGGTGCTGTGCTTAGATTGTACTATCTCCATTTTATCTTCACAACATCTGTATAAGATATTGGGTTGTTGGAAAAGTCATGACACATGTTTGCAACAGATAGCGCTAGTTCATTTTTGGAAGTACTAGAGTCGTTCGCATCTATGTTATTGCTATGTCATTTGACAGCTGACAGTTCTAGCTTCATTCTAAAAAAAAAATTGAGCGACTTGGTTGAGCTTTGGAGATTTTACAGCAAGTTGAAGATGGAAGACCAAACTCTGCATTTTTGCCATATTTTACTGTTTTACTTCCATAAAGGGAAGAATGCGCGTCAAGCTTGTGAAAAGTTGCATAAAGTTTATGGTGACAATGCTCTACAAGAACGTGAGTGCCAATGATGGTTCACGAAATTCCGTGCTGGTGATTTCGATCTCAGTGACGCTCCTCGGTCAGTGAGGCCCACCGAGGTTGATGACAACAAAGTAAAGGCATTGATCCAGTCAAACCCACGTTACACAACACGAGAGATTGCAGAAACATTGAACATCCATCATTCAAGCGTTCACAACCACTGGAAGAAGCTGGGATACGTAAGCATGCTCGATATTTAGGTTCCGCGTGAACTCAAAGAAGTTTGTTTGACGGCGCGTATAAACATCTGCAATATGCTTATTAAATGTGAGGAAAATGATCCTATTTTGAAGCGACTGATAACTGGTGATGAGAAGTGGACTGTTTACCACAATGTGGTGCATAAATGGTCTTGATCCCGACGTGATGATTCGCCTCAAACAACATCAAAAGCAGACATTCATCAGCGGAAGGTTATGCTCTCAGTGTGGTGGGATTTTAAAGGTGTCGTGTTTTTCGAGCTCCTATCAAGGAACCAAACAATCAATTTGAATGTGTACTGTTGGCAATTGGACAGCTTGAATGAATCCATCATCCAGAAACGTCCAGAGCTTGTTAATTGTAAAGGAGTTGTGTTCTATTGCGACAGCGCGTGACCACACACAAGTTTGATCACTGTCAAAAATTATTGGAGCTTGGATGGGATGTGTTGCCATATCCACCATACTCACCTGACCTTGCGCCATGAGACTTCCACTTGTTTCTCTCTCTTCAAAACTCCTTGCGTGGGGGTATAACATTCAATTCAGATGAGGCTGTAAATCAGCACCTTGTTCAGTTTTGCGCAAATAAAGACAGGTCCTTCTATGAATGAGGAATTATGAAGCTCACTGAAAGATGGCAAAAGGTTATCGAACAAAATGGTCAATATATCATTGATTGATCTTTGTTCTTTATATAAATAAAT